ATATATATATATATATATATATATATATATATATATATATATATATATATATATATATATATATTAAAATAGTTGTAGAAGTACGCATTTCCATTATAGTGGACCGTTTTTTATTTTAGACACATATGCAAAAGCACGCAAAGCAAGTATAAAAGCTGAACACGACAGTGCTATCGATACACCTGCTGGAGAAAGTGATATAGATAAGCCTAGGAAAAAACAGAAACCTGTAAGATATGAAGTGACAGATAGCTCAGAGCTTGATGAACCTAATCCAAAACGACCGAAAAAGATAATATGTTCAACGATTTCTGATAGCAGTGATGAAGAAACTGCTACAGATTATATCAAAGACAAAGTGAAAGAGCTTATAAAAAATAAAAAATAATTATCCACTTCACAATATAAAATACAGAAATCCAGATTAAAAAAGCATGAAATTACTTCCCTTCGCAACTGTACTACATCATATAATATAGCAGTCTTCACTTTCTGCGGACTAACATTCTGCTTTTGAAAGTAAGAAGAATTTACTCTGTTTAGCTATAATCAATTGTATCTTATGTAATGCATTTATATTAATGATTTAATTTTAATAGCTATGTCACCCAAATATATATATATATATATATATATATATATATATATATATATATAATGTGTGTGTGTGTGTGTGTATGTGTAACAATTCTCAAATTCGAAACTTAACAATGTCCACAGATATTCCAGAAATATTGTAAAAGTCAATTATCATTTTCTTCAATTACTTCATCTCTCGAAAATAAAGTGTACGGCAGAATAATGTTTCATTATATTTTCAATTATTTATTGCAATTTTGTGAACAATTAATTTATTGTCTTTGTTAAATGTTCCAGTTGTTTTATCTGAAATATCAAATAAGACATCTGCAAATAGAATTTCGCCTATAAAAAGTGCAGTTTCACGGTGCTCTAATTATATGTATCTGTGTTGTTCACTTTATTTTCACTTTACACGCACAAATGTCATAATATTTTTATTATATCGTTTTAACAAATATCAACTTTTATTTTATTTTTGTTACAGTGGATAAAGATCCACGTTTGTTCGATCCGCTACTGTCTGAAAATATATCACCACCTGATGAAACGTTTTCCTCTTCAAAAATGAAAATTCCTCTCAATAATATTAATACGTTCGAAAAAATTGCTTCATCTCATGAGCCAAAGATCCACCAACCAGTTCCTACATGTAAAGTTATTTCTTTATTTTATTACTATTTCTATTGATTTCGTAATAATTTTATTTCTATACATTTATTTGTAGAGTGACATTTTATTGTTAAATTATGTCTCAGTTTCTTTACCTTTTATGATGAAAAATGTCTGTATGCAATCAGGTAAATTATATTGCTTCTTATATTAATGGAATTACTTTTCATATTTTTTTTACATTATTAACGAATAATTTAATACATTTTTCCAGGAGTATCTTACTGATTTTCCTGTTTTGTGTTCCTAATTTTCACATTGATTTTTCTGACTTCTTGTCTTCCTCATTTTCCTGACCTTAATATTATTACAAAAATGAACTTTTATATTATTTTTGTTACAGTGGATAAAAATCCACGCTTGTTGGATCCGTTACTGTCTGAAAATATATCACAACCTGATGAAACGTTTTCCTCTTTGTAATTACTATATTAATTATTAGATATATTTAGATCCACACGTGGCTGCTGTTCTTAAAACTTTAGTATCCAGGCAAGAAGATTTAAATAGTAAAATAGATCACGTTATTTTGATGATTTACAAAGTATATCGTAAGTTAGCACCAGAAGAAGAAAAAGTGAATCATCCGAAAAATCTCCCTGAAAAAACTTCCTTTAAATAATGAAGATTCCTTTTTACAATTTCAAAAATTTCTAATATCTGAAAATAACTTTACCCAACAGTAAGTATTTCTATCACTCTTTCAATTATATCATACATTTTTCTGTACATAATTTAAGTTGTTATTGCCTTGTTATTAAATATGATATAAAGAGATTTAATCAGATACATATGCCAACGTACATCGAATTGTTTTATTCTATATTAAGACCAAATTACACTAACCTAAATATAAGGTAACTGTTAAAACTGTAAATAGTATAATATCCAAAATCGGATAAGATTTTTTAACATCATATGTCCTCACTTTGGATATTATGCTGTGTAGGATCAGATATTTATTTTTGTTTTTTCCTCAAAATAAAGTAAGATAGATATGTTTCAATTACTTAACTTATTACTCGCTTGGTGCAACCGAATATTGAAATAACTTTGGGAAATAATTACCTTGATTTATTTAAAAGAATTATACTTATGAGTATTATACTTATAAGTATTATGAGTATTATATACATATACATATATATATATATATATATATATATATATATATATATATATATATATATAATTCTTGAGAATAAATTAATCTGAATATCTTTCGAGCCTTCATATAATCTAGAATTGAGTCAATTGATGTTGGATGTATGTAATTAGTGTTACATACATTTTAATATTTTGTTCTCTTTTCAGGTGGATTATTTTGTTAAACTAATGAAAATTGATAAACAGACGGATGAATATACAGCTGTTGGTCGCCTGTTACCGAAACTGATATCTAATTTGTTAGCTCGTATAATTAGTTATGCAGGATATGGTGTCAAACTGAAATTCGAAAATACAAAACTTCACGAACTTCACTTTCAATTGTAAGTTCGAATGTAGTCACAAATTCTCTCTCTCTTTATCT